CAAAATAAGTGTGAGTTTTGATAATGACTTCTCACAAGGCTCTAATGGAGGACACAGCTGTAATTTAAAAAAAAAATTTTTTTTTTGGTCCGGTTCGGCAGGAAGCTTGGGGAAAAAGATGGAGAAGAAAAACAGAACGGGAAAAAATGGCTCTGCTCTGTTTTTTAAAAGTCAGAGATTTTTCAAGTTCATTGAATGACAGGCACAAAAAATGACAGGGAGGGAGAAGACACATTCTCTCCTGTCGGGAGCCAAGGCTGTGTGCGTCCCTGATGCTTCGTGTCTGTCTCAGCAGCATTTTTTATTTCAGGACCAACAGGGTCTAATGAGACTGAGCCAGCTTTTTTTTCCGGCCCATCATGACTGACAGCTGCAGCATCTCACGGTCACTTGGGTCATCTGGCTCCCGGGGGTGAGGCGGGCGGGGGAACTATGGCCAAAGCATTTCAGGACTGGCTGGGAACTTCCTACGCATTGACTCGTTATCATTGCTACACCTCTGTAGGGAAGGGCAAGCATTCACCCATTTTACAGGTGGGGCAACTCAGCCTTGGAGGGGTCAAAGACTTGGTGTCATGGTGTGGCTGAGCTGCCTCGAGCTCCGTCTCCCAGCTATGCTGGAGCCCAGTGACATAGGGGACCTGAGGGGCTCAGAGAGTGACAGTTTTTGTGGAGGAGGGGCATATGAAGAGGGACCTGGAAGAGGCAGGCAGGATTGAGAAAGGAGGCAAAAAGGACTTAGTAGAGGGAACCAGACTGGGGACACGTGTGGCCGTGGTACCAGGCTGGTGTGTGCATGGGACATAAGGTCAGCCTGGTAGGAAGCTAGAAGTCTACCAGCAACATACTCGGAAAATTCAGGTGCCTGCAGGGGTATGGATGTGTGTTTTGAGTGGCCTCCAAGTTCACTCTTTTCTGCTGCTTCCACAACTTTTCAAGGACTCTGGGAGCTCATGACCCCAAGGCCAATTAGACACAGATGTACAGAGGAGCCGCAGCAGAAGTCACAGTGTAGAGTAGGCACTGGGAAGCATGGGAGTGCTGTGCCAGGCATTGGAGGTGGCAGAGGAGAGGCAGGGAGGCCAGGGAAGAGGCTCTTGCAGACCCTCAGGCAAGAGGTGGGCAGATGAGAGAACTGGGCCTTCACGGCATCATTTGTGCTGTCTGTCTGTCCCAGGGCCTTTTGGAGTTAGGATCTGGAAATTTGAGCCATTTCCAGTTAATGGTGGCTGCTGGTCCACCCCCTCTCTACCCCGCCGCCCCTCACCCTCGTCCTCTCGGCAAAGGGCACACCCATATGTAGTGCCCTGTTTCTTGTCCGAATACCCACCAGTTAAGCCCAGGCAGGTAGAGATCTCTGTGTATATTTTTACACTCCGTTCATCACAACGCTCCTATGATTTTGTTTGGGGTTTAAGGAGCATCTCAGGCAAAGGAGAGAATAATCTAATTGATTTAGGGGATTAGAATTCAAGGCTGCTGAGCCACACGTGAGCAGAATGTAAAGATGCTTATTAGTTAAATAAAATAAATGTGTTCGGTGTGGCTGTGCAATCACTCCCCCACCCTCAGCCGCTGCGATTTTTGTACCAGGTGGGGCTCCCGGGGTTCAGTTAGGGAACTCACAGTCATAAACCCAGCTCCTCCTGCAGACAGCATCACGCACATGACTGTTCTTAAACACAGGGCCGTGGACTTGGCTGACACCTGTAAGCAGATACCCTTCGTGGCTTCTTGCAGTCTAGGAGAAGCTGAAACTTTTCTGTCACCTTCAAGGCTCTGTGCTCTCCGCTCACCCTCTGGGCTGCCTCATCTGGCTTGACCGAGCTCCCCTTCAGCTCCCAATCCTGGCTCCCTTCCCGCCTTCGCACAGGCCAGCCCCTCTGCCTAGGAAACTGTTCTCTCTCTTCCTTCAGCCCTGAGCTCACAAGGCCTCCTTCGATCCTGTGACTCAACCAGCATGCTTACTTTTCTCTGCTGGCTGCATGTCTGTCTCTAATTATCCATTCCTGTGACTCTTTGTTTCACATCTGTCCCCCTGGAGACAGTAGGGCTGGAACTGTGCTTGCCTGATTCACTTACATTTCCAGAGTCTAGCACTGTGCCTGGCACGTAGTAGGTGCCCAGTAAAAAATTATCAAATGACTGTCACACACATACACATACCCAGGACAATGGGGGTGCAAACCCAGACAGATTTTGACACACAGACATACCATCATGTCATGCGTCATGTGTTGCACATGTGAAATGATGGGGTGAAGGGGCTGCTGGGGGGCCATGGGACCTGGGGAACCCGGGCCCTGTTTTGCAAGGCCCAGCTGAGCCAGGCAGAAATTCCGGCCAAATAGTCCTGTGTCTTCTAAAAATCCCAATTTTGATGGAATAGCTCCTGATTTTCAACTAATTTAATTTTGGGGAAACACCATGGGAGAGAAACAGTGTAGTCCACCTGCTGGGCGGCCTTGGTGTTCCCGGGGAGGAAGTACAGTCAGCTTCCAGGGGCCAGTGGGGGCAGGGCTCCGTGATGGGCTCTGGGTGGCCTGTGGGGGCCGCCATGGTAACCCTAGGTGGGTTCGGAGAGGCCGTGCTGAGCCAGGTTGAGATTGTGAGGACACACTGGCCTCAGCTCTGAAAGTCTCAGGAGCTAAGGCCCGGCCCCAGGTCTGCCACCTCCCTGCACCTTTCCTCCCCCACTCACTATTGTGTCTAACACCTACACAGAAGCACTTTGGAAACTGTAAACTCCTATGAATTCGGCCATGTGAATGACAGTGGCTACTAGAATGGAAACAACGCGAATTTGCAAATCATTCGTAAGACTCCTATTCCCAACATGCTGAGGGGCTGGAGCAGTGAAAGGAGGCCCAGCTTCTCTGCAGGAAATGGGTGGGGACGAAGAGAGCTCAGAGTTTTGTAGGGAGTTGTAGAAAGATCATTTACGTGGGCGGATAGGCACCTGTGATAATAATAATAATAATAATAATGCAGCTAACATTAATTGAGTGTCAGGAACCATGATGAGCACTTTACATAAATTATCTCATTTAGCTCGGGGCCTGGGGAAGGACCCCTGGCCTTAAAAACATCTCTCTCGCTATCTTGTACATGCCGAGGATTCCACCATCAGGACCTCAGTCCTGTGGTTCAGGCAAATTCTTTTGCTTAGTGGCCATTTTCAAATTCCGAAAATTTTTCTTTTGTTCTAATTGAAGTCCTTATGTGTTAGAATTTAAGTTAATTTCCCCTTAACAGTTTTGCAAATAGAGATCATCTCTAACTTCCTAATTTTAAGAAAATGTGAAGTTCTCCACACACACCTTCTTTCCCAGGGAGCTCACCCGCCTTTCTCCCTCCTTTGTTCTCACAGAAGTTGTTCGTGCTGTAGATTCACTTCATTTCACTTGTTTCGGCCATGGGCATCCCGGGTCCCCGTGTATGTGTGGTTCGGTGCTCGGACCCACTCATCCTAACCCCCGCCTCCCCTTTCAGTCAAGCCCTAAAAGCCAGGTACAGCTGAAGAGGCTTCTGTCCCTAACCCCTCCCCTCCATTTCCATAAATGGTTCAAAGGCAGCCACATTCATCAGACCAAGTGGCCTTTCAGGTCAAGCCCCTCCTGCCCTACCTGGCTGCGCCCCAGGTGTGGCGTACATGTGGATACCAGATGGGTGGGGTTGGGGGCGGAGACCGTTGGCAGCCCACGAGACCTGCATCCTTCCCAGATGATTATTGCCAGGCCAAGTTGTGGGTTAGGGTTTTCTGCTATAGACATTCCTATCTTTTCTTGAAATTCCTGTAGTAATTCACAATATACATAGGGTATTAAGTCCTGAAGTCTGCAAGGGAGGCGAGTCTCACGTGGGGTCAAAATCATGCATCCTAGGGATCTAGGATGGATCAGCCAGCCTGTGGTCAGGGGCTGTGAAGATGCCTCCGTGATGGCCGAGGTCACACACACCCAGTCCCTGTCCTTAGGATGCTCCCAGTCCATGTGGGAGATGGATGATAACCCAATAATCACATGTGATAGAAAGTAAAATGACAAGTGTGACCATCAAAATGAGAAGAGTTGCCTGGGTGTCAGCCCATAACATAGGGCTTAACCTAACCTGGGGGCCTCTGGAGGGCTTCCTGGAGGAAGTGCTACTTGAGGTGAGCACTAAAGTATAAGTGAGTTTACTAGCAGTAGGGGGAACTTCTCTGGGTATGCGTGTTGAAGGAATTGCTGGAGGCTGGTGTGGCCTAGGGGAAGTGGGGATGAGACCTCAGAGCACCCCTACTCCTGGCAGCCACTTCAGGGAGCAGAAGGAAGGGCTCTAAGTTGGGGGCATTTTGAAAAGATCTGTCTAGCTGTCATGGAAGAGCAGATTGGAAGGGGCCAGAATGGCTTTCGGGAGACCTGGGAGGAGGCTGGGGTGAAGATCCAGATGAGAGAAGCTGGGGCCTTGCTCTGGCCAGTTCATGGGGATCTGGATTCTGGACAGAAGAGGAGGGGACCCAACAATGTTTAGAGGGAAGATCAGTGGGATTCGGAGATGGATTCAGTGTGCGGAAGGAGCAATGGGGATGATGACAGGAGGGTCCGGCTGGAGTGGGTGAAGCTTTCCGGGGTCCAGATCTGGGGAGATCCTGAGTTGGGTTCTAAACATGCCAACAGGCTAGTGGAGTGGCTGGGTGTTGCTGATGGAGGCGTGGGAGTGGCAGAGCTCAGACCAAGGCCCAGCCTGGGGCGGGGACCCCCTGACCCCTATTCCTTCCCCCAGCACCTTCCCGGGGTCACCATATCATTCTCAGGC